ATGCAATGTTTTGTCGTATCAATAGCACACATGTTTCTCAAACAGATATTCACTCCTATGCATTATGTTGCACTTTGGACAGGATGAAACGACTTGTCTAAATCTTGATCTGAAGTTAACCTTCTTGTTTTGTCTTTCTCCTTTCTCTTTGTTGGACTCATTCAGTTTCTTCTTTTCTGAAGGCTCGGCCATTTGCTGAGGAGTTTGATCAACCTCTAACTTATTTGAGATTGCCTGGGTAGTCTGCAATACCCAACTATAGGTTGTAAATTGGTAGGATACTAATATTCCACCAATCTCAGGACATAATCCTATTTCGAACCTTCTTAATTTCTTTGCTTCTGTGTCCATTAGGTATGGTGCATACCTTGAGAGTTGTTTGAATTTTCTCTCATAATCCTCGAGCTTTATTTTTCTTCGTTTAAGTTGAAGGAATTCTGTCTTTTTTTGATCCCTCAGAGCTTGGATGAAGTATTTTCCAATCACTTCGTCCTTGAATTGTGTCCAAGTCAGAGCACATTGTTGCGCTTTTGTTCTAATACACGATGCTGACTCCCACCAGTGGCTTGCAACATCAACCAACGTGAATTCTTCACATAATATTTTTTTGAGCATCAGTGCAAGAAAAATATTTGAAGATTCGCTCCATTTCTCTTATCCATTCTTCAGCTGCCAATGAGTCTGCCTTGCCATCGAATGTTGGGGGTTTATAGTGACGAAATTGTTCCACAATTAAGTTGGTATTGTTAGTGTTTGCATTATGGGATCACCTTGTGCTTATTGTGTACCTAGATCTTATACAGCCCTCAACAAATCCCTACTGGCTGTAGATTGATTTTGTTATTGCCTTGTCATTTTTTTAACACAAATAAAATTTTAATTTAGAAATATTTGATAACACAAAAATAACCATAATAATAATAATAATAATAATAATAATAATAATAATAATAATAATAATAATAATAATAATAATCTTTATAATGGCGAAAAACTTAAAAAATTTCCAAATCTTTACATATTGTAACACCTCAAGCTCTCAGGGCTCGTGACATTAAAAGACTTTAAAAGTTCATAAAATGCGGAAATTTAACTTGTACTAAAAGCATTAACACTTCAGAGATTATGTTACAAAATTAAAGAAATTTTCTTTCGAAAAGTTTAGATTTTTATCTTGTACGATTTCTTGAAATAAATCTCGTTCGACAAATAATGAAATCCAAAATGTAGAAAATTTAAACTCTAGACATCTTACACCTAGGAGAATTTCAGGTTAAAATTTCGAGTACAAATTTAATCGATAAGTTGGTCAGAATTATTTTCAAAACTGGATCTATTTGTTCTAGGGCACTTTCTAGCAGCTCTCGGAAAAACATTCATAACTTGAGTTTCATACATCCAAAGTTTGTGATTCAGAATTTGAGAGATAGATAACTCATATGGCTATCGTCTGCAATTGGAATCACATCAAAATTTCAAGTATTTAGGTCTGGGTGAATTTTTAAACTTAGGGTAGAAGCTGAAATTTTTTTTATCCCAGTGTTGTAACTCAAATGGACTGAATACCGCCATAAAAATATCAAACAATTTCATCATCAATTCAGTCTTCAAGCTTTTAAGAAAACACTAATTTAAAATATCCCCAAATTTCTGGACCATAGCATAGTGTTAAAAATAATTGCATAATTCTGAAATCTTCATAAAAAAACACACACGTGAACGTTAAACCCTTTCCATCTCAAAACATGAATTCAAACTACAATTTCAGGGACTTCCAATGATTATTAAACATAAAAGTAGCAACCTAAAACTTAAGAATAAATTTCTCTCAAAATAGTACATGCCATTCATGCCAATCTAATGCCGGATCTTCGATTATTCTAAAAATGGTTAAATAGGAATAAGCATATCAAAGGAACACTCAATAGGCTACACATGCCATATAAACATAATAATCATATTTTTAATCATGCATTCTTACATGTTTCTCCATAAATAAGTAAATTGATAATCAAATGATCTAATTAGGGGTCTGATGCGCCTCTGTGACCATCAGTTTAACATATATACTTAAAGTTTTAATGAGCCTCTACGACTATCAGTTTAAACATGTATAAAACTTTCTTTCATCAAAACTTAAGAGAAAGCTCTAAAGGCACTTTATGTACTTTATGCAAATATAACGAATACATGCTTAATTGAAAGTTAATTTCATATAATGACAACTTCGCGTAAAGATCCTATGTTAGTTCACGATGATAATGTACTGACTGCGTAGAACCAAATTCTTTTCCAAACTTTTCTCCTTTGAATGAAGGCGCGTGTACTGTATAAAAATTACACTAATGGAAGAAACTTTATTTTAATGTGGACAGTGTAGTTTGGAAGGTCTCCTTTTGAAAGTAGGCAAATTTGAATTGCACCAGAATTTCACACAGAAATCTAGTAACTAATCCAATTTGCTTTCATCCTAGGTAGGACTCTATCTAGTAATTTGAATTGCACCAAAATTCACATGGGAATCTAATAAACTAATCCAATTTGATTTCATTCTAGTCTCATAAGAAAATAATAATAAAACAAAACAAAACAAAAATTAAAAGATGAAAATATTTGACACACATGTGGCTGCCCAAAGCTTGTTAAATGCTTAACTGACCTTAGTTAAAATATAACTTTTTTTCTAACGATAACAACTTAGGCCTAGCTTATGCGAAATAATTTTTTCTTTAGTACAAAATTTGCCACTTAATATGAGATTCGAAACAAGCCCAATATCAATAAGAAATTTCTCGCTAGACAAATACTTCATTATTTGATCGAAAATTAAAATTTTTACAAAAAGACATTTTTTCTTTTTCAATTTGTCCCTCGGTATCTCAAATTAACAAAACACGTCAAGATGAAATAGATGAAAATTTATTTTCGGTTGCTACACATATAGTATAATACCAAATAAGCAAAAAAATAAGTGAACTTTTCCTATATAAGCAAATAACATCTATTTTTGATTTTTTTATGAGTCCTAAGAATCCTCTTTTGGTGAAGTCTCATCGTCTGAAGTAATGCATTACTCTAACTCAGAATCAGTAACCAAATCAATAAAATTTTGTGGTTCAAATTCTTGCTCAGGTTTTTCCAGCTCTAGTTCGATTTCCTCCTCTCGGTCCTCCTCAGGCTCTTCCTCTGGCTCTGGTTTTGGTTCAAGCTCGGGCTCGCTAGCTCTTGTTGTATGTGGTTCCATAAGATTATGATGTCCTCACAGTATCTCTTAAAGTCAATCATATCCCAATCTTCTTCCTAGTATAGCTCGTAGTCCATATCCCTCACGAAGCTACATCTCTCCATTGAGGCTTCATAGTGCTTATAAGATGTTATATCGAGAGGATCGTCCCCTCATTATATCCGAATGATCTTGCTTGCTCCTATTTAGAAAGGAAACCCTCAACATGTTCGACAAAAGTTCGCTCCCATCGTACTTCATAATTTATGTAATTATCAATTGCCATTTCAGTACAATAAAGATATGTCAGGCTATTCCTAGTCATCCTAGTTTTTTGTCAAGTTCTAATCATGTGACTAATATAACCTCAATTATGCTTAATCTATCAGTGACAATATTATTTTATTTCATGCCCGTATAAACAATAAAAAAATTGACTAATAAATTGTGTAAAGCAAACATACTTATGCACTTCATAACATGAACAAGTTGGCTCATAATTCGGTTAAGCATTTCATACCTAGAATCATTTGGGGAGTGGTTAAGCAATGAGCGGTGCATCCCAAGAATTCTTCATCCCATTACATGTTTAAGGTGAAAAAAATTTCATTGTCCTAATGTTTTATGGGGGGAAAAAAAAGGAGGATCTACCTTCATGTTTTTTATTTTTTTATTTAATTTTTGAAATTTCCCAAAATAGGATTTTTCTCAAATTAGAATTTTCTAAAAATAGAATCTTCTTAAATCTAAGATGGTCCGAAATATTGTTTTTCGTCTTGTTTGTTTGAATATCGCACAATCAAAAGGTTTTTCTTCTTGTTGGTTTGAATATCGAGCAATCAAAAGGCTTCCAGATGAGGAGGGGGCCACAAGTAGGCCGTTTAAATCTCAAGCTCTTCGTAGACAGTTTAGGTCTTTTTGACAAAGTTTTACAATTTTGCGAGTACGCGAATTAAGAAAACTCAAACAATAAGTGGAACATGAAATCTCTTAAAATATAAATTTATTATTATTATTTTTTTTTGGTAATTTTAAAACATCCCCTGAAGATTAAAGCTCGACACATAGATACTCATGACATGTAAAATCTTAAAACATGAGCATTGAACCATAACAATTTAAAGTTTAAACTACACAATTCAAAGTCAATTTGAAACAAACATTAACCTTCGATACAGTATATAAAAATCATTCCCCCTTTTTTCAAAAATTTCTTTTTTTTTTCCCACTGTTTACATGAACAATATTTTTGCACTGTTCATCGTGAACAGTAGCAATCTTAAAGTCAATTTGAAACAAACATTAACCTTCAATACAGTATATGAAAATCTTCCCCTTTTTTTTCAAAAATTTCTTTTTTGTCCACTGTTCACATGGACAGTATTTGGCACTGTTCATTGTGAACAGTAACATCGCTGTTCACGATGAACAGTGACATGCACTGTTCAATTTTTTTTATTTTTCGTAATTATGCTAGTTTGCTGGTAAGAAAAGAATAATGGTTTCTGACCTAAACTTCTTCTAATTAATATATAATTCAATTAGTTACTAATCAAGCCGATACACGTAATACTATTTATGGGTTTACAATCAATTTCCATTATACTGCAACTTCATAACCTTTCTCATAATAATTTCCAGTAACTAATACTTAAAAAAAAAATAAAAAAATAAAAAATACTCGTGCATATCATGTTTAATGGACAAAAATAAAATTTTAATTCCACCAATATAAAATAATAAAAATAAATCATATGGAAACATAACAAATGAATCATGTTCTAAATCACATATCTACATAATAATAAAATGAAAACAATTGCTAGAAATAAAATCATTGAGTCATGTTACACCGGATTTAAATTTATTGAGTCCAAAGAATTCTAAGACCACGACTGCACATCATCACCCATCAACCAACAACTCGTTCTAACCTACGAGAGGTAGGGAAAAAAGGTGAGTACATTGAAATACTCATAGGACACAAAAAATCATGGTGCGGTCCCAAATAAAAATATATAATTACATTAAATGTATCAAAATATCATACCGTCATCATATCTTTAGAAACTAGTAAGAGCTCAATAAATATCATATCTTTAGTATCGGATAACCATAATGTAAATATCATATCATACCTTTAAACTTTCATAAGCACAATAATTCAACAATATGAAAATAAACAATTTAAACTAAATAAAACAATTGCACCTCGTTATCCTACGTTGTCAGATCAAATGAACTTTTGAGGATACAAAACCAAAAATCACGTTCCAGTTTTATTTTTAGTGTGCTACCATGTTTATAAAATTATTTTTGTGGTGAAAGAAATTGGACTTTTTCCATGGAGAAATTGGTTACATAAATGGATAAATAAATATAGGAGTATCCTATAGAAAGTGAAAGTTCAATTTACCCAAAACTTGTATCCAAGTCAAATAAAATAATCTACTTTCACTCAATTCCAACAACTCCTACACGTGGCTCCATAAGTTATTAAAACATATAATTTATTTTAAAGCACAACAAAAAGTAATATAAGATCATATCAAAATATTTCATCAATCCTAAGAATGCAACACGTCGAGCCCATGGGAAGTTTGATTAATAACTAAACCGAATGCATTATCATATCAAAGTAAAATCTTTCAACTTTAATAATTTGGGCTTCGGTTATTCGAACTAACTTTTTCTCGAGTCTAAAATGCATGATTTAATACGATCTATCCAACGAGTCCTATATTGATATATTTATCATCGCTCTATCAAAATCTAGACATTTGGCCCAAATAAAATTGAATTAATACATATATCACTTTATTCTCCCCAATTTTCCAAAATATAAAATATGGCCTCTAAAATAATTAAAGTATATTCTATAAAATTTTCAGAACGTTACAGTTATTCTAATAAACAAAATCCAGCTTTACAAAGAAGTCTAACAACCTACACAAATTTGGTTGTTATCCTATCAATAATATCAGTCATACTAACGTACACTAACACCCCTGGCAAACTGATGGGTAGCATGCAAATCATTAGTTTAGAACTCAAGAACTAAAGTCATGAGGCTGTATGCCCTCTAGAAACACCTTAGGAACTTAGTCTTTTGTAGAAATATAACAAACATAAACATCTTTCTTCACAACCTTTTCTCTGACAAAATGATAATTCACTTCAATATGCTTTGTCCTAGCATGAAAAACTGGGTTTATACTAAAGCAATTTCACTTATGTCGTCACACCAAATCAAAGGACATTTAGAAAGAGAAATCCCCAATTCACGTAAAAGCATACGTATCCAATAGAAATAGAGTTCAGCAATTGCCAGAGCCAGTGATCAATATTCAGCTTCTGTATTAGAACAAGATACGACATTTTTCTTTCTGGTGCTCCATGAAACCAATTTTTTTCCTAGAAAAATGCCATACCCACTGCTACCGCATCTGTCATCCGAATTTCCTACCTAGTCTGAGTTATAGAAAGCATTTAGATCTATTATTAAGGGAGAGTAATAAAAACCATTGTCAACTGTCCCTTTTAGATATCGAAGAATACTTTTTAGAGCTAACCAATGTCCTTCGAGTGGGTAATGCATGAATTGGCAAAGTTGGTTGACAACATAAGAAATGTCTGGTCATGTAATAATGCAATATTAAAATGCACCAACAATCATTCTGTGTTCACTAGGATCTAAAAGTAAATAACCATCTTGGGGGACAATTTCGATCATTTATCGTTGGAGAGGATGGTGGCTTTGCTCCAGCCATATTGTTTCGATGCAAGAGTTCAATAATGTATTTTCCTTGACCCAAGTGAATACCATGAGAGTCATGGCAAGCATGGACTCATAGAAAGTAACTAAAACTTTCAAGATCTTTGAGTTGAAATTGACTTCCCAATGTAGTAATAAACTGAGTGATAGCCATTACATTTGTCCCTGATACGATGATATCATCTACGCAGACATGAACAAAGATTTATAAGTGATTTTTACCATAAACAAATAGAGATGAATCAATGGAAGATTCAAGGAAACCATATTCAAGTAGTTGTTGTGAGAGTCTTCAAAACCATGCTCTTAGAGCTTATTTTAGCCCATAGAGAGATTTATGAAGTCTACAGACAAAATATAGTTGGGACTCATCAAGAAATCCTTTTGGCTGCTCCATAAACACCTCCTCATCCAATATGCTATGTGAAAAGGCATTTGAAACATCCAGTTGCCAAATAGGCCAATGAAAATTAACTATCAAGGCTAGAATTAAATGAAGAGTTGAAGATTTAATTGCTAGAGAAAATGTCTCATGATAATCTACACCATCACATTGATCAAAGCCTTTGGCAACCAATCGTGTCTTTTACATCTCTACCTGCCATTTTGCTTTCTTTTTATTTGGTATACCCATTTGTTATGAACCACGAGTTTACTAAGTAGTCGTGAACATTAGGACCAAGTACCATTGGCCATTAATATATCAAACTCACCTTCCATAGCATCCCGCCATTCAGAGCTAGACATAGCCTATGTGAAACAACTAGGTTCTTGTTCATGATAAATACTAGACAACACACGAAGAGAGTGTTTGGTGGATAAAAAACTTTTGAAGCCAGGGAATTGTTTGGGCTTAAGTTTTTCAATTTTGGATTTAGTTACCAACTATTGAATTAGATGTTTCAGAGATAAAGCTTTGGGATCAGGATAAGGAGATGGTAAGATAAGATTTGAGATTGTAGGTTTTGCACAAGAAGTGGTGATATTTTTATTTGGTATATTGATGGTAGGCCCGATAGTTGGACTACCATGTTGAATATGTGATGATTGCATGGTGGTTAGAGGACTACATAAAGATTGCGACCGCACAGAAGTGTTAGAAAATAATTGCAACTGATAAGGTGGAGGTAATTTAAATTGAGAAACTTCACCAAAAACAACAGAATCCTATTTGGACGAAGAGTCTGAAACCATATCAACTGCAGTAAAAGAGTTATCGTCAAAAATAACATTGCGAGATTTATAAACTCTACCATTGGTTAGGTCCAAACATCTATATCCCTTTTGTCGTCTAAATATCCTATGAAGACACCTTTTTTTTTTTTTAAAACAAAGCCTATGTTTGACATAGGGTGTGAGAAAAGGATAGTAGCTACATCCGGAATTGCATAGGTCACTATACCTATGGAAAGACTTATTAAGTGCAAAGAAAGGAGATACATTGTTAAGAACCTTAGTTGAGAGTATGTTTATTAAATATACTGATATTAAGAATTAGTTAACCCAGAGACGACCCTGAAGGTGTGTGAGTTGAGCAGGGGCACCAAAAAACTTTTTGTTATAGTTGTATATTTATTTATAATTAAATATTTAAAATATATATTAAGTTCAAAGTATAAAATTTTTTATTATTATGCATAAAATATTAAAATTAATAATAATGTGACTGTCTTATTAAACTTTCCTTAAATAAATATTCTTAAATAGTATTCATATCTTAAATAATGTGAGGGAAAAGGAAAAAGTCCAAAAGAGTTCAGGTCAAGAAGAAAGAAAAATTGAACAACCATCTTTTCTAATCACCTTTTCGAAGAAAATAATTAAAAAAATCAACCGTCTTTTCCAATTGCCTCAAAAATAATTGAGGCGGAGAAGAGATAAACCAAACGGTCTTTTTCTCCAATCATCTTTGATCTGGCTCCAAAAAATTCTCTCTTTTCATTAAACAACGATTGACGATTCGTATTTTTCATAAAACCCTCACTGAAAATCTAAATTCCCTGTTATCTTTTTTTTATTCTCTTTTCGTCAATCTCGTTCAGTAATTTCACTGATTTGAATTCGCTTTGGATGATGCTAATTTGAAAGCATGTTTTGATCATATTGATATTATTTTAAGACATGTAATTTTTTGCGATCTTGATGACGAAGATTTATTTCAAGAGTTAAAAGTTTTGAGAAATCTTTTACCAAAAGGAATAAAGACGACTTTTGATATATTAACTTATTTGAAAAGATTGGATTGCTTTCCGTACATGTATTGCTTATAGAATATTATTGACAAATCATGTTACTGTTGCATCTCTTGAAAAAAGTTTTTCAAAATTGAAGTTATTAAAATATTATTTGCGGTCAACCATGTTACAAGAACGATTAAATGGATTAGCTTTGTTATCTACTGAGCAAGACTATCTAGAAAATATTGATTACAAAAGTTTAATTAGTGAATTTTCTTCTAAAAATGCGAGAATAAATATTTTTATATGATTTGTTGCATTTCAAGCTTTACACGATATATATTTTTTTCAAGGTTTGCTTATATGGAGTTGTACGAATAGGCTAGTGGCTTGGATAATTCTTTGTTGATGACATATGAATTTTGATGAAATTCAAGAGATGCTTTTGAGCTTTATTTATGTTTTTGTGTTCATGTATTTTAAAAAAAAAAGTATTTAAATATCATATTTTTGCAATGAAATAATATTATTGAAATATTTTTTTTAATATATATTTTAGTTACTTGAAGGGGCCACCATTTTAAAATCTTGCACAGGCCATCTAAAATCTTAGGGTCGGCTTTTTGTTAGCCCAATAACTTAACAGTAGATGTGATTTTGCAAGAAGAGATAGACCCATTTCTTTTATATGTCGATACTGTCTCTCTGTAATGCCATTCTCTAGAGAGGAATACAAACATGTTAGGCATGACATATTCCATTAGTATTTAAAAACTGTTTAAATTCATTCGAGAGAAATTCTCCTCCATAATCTAACTAGATTTGTTTAATCTTGTGAGAGAACCAGTTTTCAACAAGGACTTTATATTTCTTGAAAACTTCAAATACATTAGATTTATGAGCCATGAGATACAACCATGTAAAACATGAAAAATCATCTATGAAAATAACATAAAATGACATCCACCAACTGAAGTTATAGGCGACACCCAAACATCAGTGTTAAGAGCCAATGGATCTTGAGTCTAATGTGTGGAGCTATCATAGAGAACCTACTTGGCCTTTCCAAGAGGACAAAACTCACATAAGGTAATTTTATTGAAAAACTTGTTAGGAAGATATCATAATTGAAATAAACTATACAGAACATGGTTAAACGGTGGCCTAAACGATCATGCCAGCCTTTCTTGTTTGTCTTTGATCCTAATTTAGCAGTAAAATAATTCAATTTATTTGAGAAGCTCTTGTTCCCACTAGAGAATATAGACCATTCCCAGCTCACAATTAGAGAATAACAATTATTGTCTATACAAAATTTGTTTATAGAGAGTAGATTAGCATGAACATCAGGACAATGTAAAATGTTTTTCTTGCAAAAGTTATGGTTATCAACTAAGAAGGAAGCGTGTCCAGTGTGTTGAATTGATAAATTTGTACAATTGCCCACTATGATTGGGTCTGCTCCTTCAAATGGTTGCTGAGTAAGAAAATATGCTACATTACTGGTTATGTGTGAATTAGCCCAACTATAAGCATACCAAACTTGATGATCAAAACCATACTGCACTAGGAGTTCAGCATAAGGAAGTCAAGCCCGAAATGCGTAATTGAATCATTCATTGCAATCTAGTGCAGTATGGTTTGGTTTGCACAAATTGGACAGATGGGTCTGTTGAATGAAGCACCTTGTGGGGGAAAAGGATATAGAGGACCAACGTACTAACCTCGACCATTACTACTAGGATGAGCACGTTGGGATGGTTAGGGTGTAACCGGAGACCATTACTACCATCATGAGCACTTACTTGTTGGATGAACGAAGATCATCGGTGTGTTCATGATGGCACGTGACAACCGGCGTGTGAAACTCTAGAGACCACGCATGTGGTTGCACGAGGCCTCTTTTGACGAGAATTTTTCAAACGATAAGACCACCATGTGGTAGTATTCGATTTCAGTTTTGAGTGTTGTTGTGAAACTTAGACAATTTTAATCCTACATGTTCAAGAATCACTTTTTGCTCGATTGGTTACTGTTGTTGCTAAAGCTTTAGGATGAATAATTGTGGCTCTAAAGTATGGTAAATTCCCATCTTTCGATATTTACGGACTCAGATTAGTTCGCTCTGGTATGTGGCTTATCCCAATTTAAATTTCAAAATTAACACGTCATTATGTGGGGGTGATATTAGGATTGTGGTTTACATGTAGGTTAACATTGTTTGTGCAAGAAATTTAGGAATTATTTGTCATATTTGAAGTATTGAATTTGGCTGCAAGTTGATAATTGATTTTGTACTCTAATTGTCGTCTAATCACTATGTGATATTGCGTTGCATGAGAATTTAAATTTTTTATTAACATACTTTCGTGTTGGATTGATTATTCTGTTAGAATACCTGGATTTAACCTGTTTGAACGTTCCACTGATCCAAGATCGCGAATCTTACGAAACCCTAAAAATTTAGAACTAATTATACCGCGGTCTTAAGATTACTTTGTGTAACCTATGTGTGCGTTTTGGTAGTTCTGTTTTTTCAAAATATCTTCACATTTCAAAATTGGAATTTTCAATGGGCAATGAGATTTTTCAATTTGACAACAAAAGATAAAGGGAATTTTGGTTCAACAAAAATTTTCAAAAGCCATAGATAGTAAATTTCTTGCAAATTTTACGGAAGCACGAGAAGTACCTATCTGACACTATTTTGAGAAAAGTTGGAAAACTTGATTTTACGAAAGAACTTTGTCAAAAGTTAGAGAACTTATATTTACTTAAGTCTATTCCTAATAGGTCGTACTTGTTTGAAAGATTTTTCAGTTTTAAAACAGATCCTAATGACAATTTGGATATTTTCAATAAGATTGTTCAAGACATTGTTAGTTGTGACGAAAAGGAGTTTGTAACGTATAATGCCATTATTTTGCTTAATTCAATTAAATATAGTAGAGACACCTTAACACTCGAGATTGTCAAAGATTTCCTTAAGAGTAAGGAGGTGAGATTAAGGTTGAAAAAGAAGATAAGATGAGTAGTGAGTTACAAATGATGAGGAGTAGAATGAAGTTTATGCAAATGAATTTGGGTAGATCTCAATACAGTAGTGATTCAAGTAGTGACTTGAGTGGTGAGGGTGGTAAGAAGAAAGGCAAAAGACAGGAGAAATCTAGTGGTAGACGATGTTGTGGTTGTATTAAGCCTGAACATTTTATTAGTAAGTGTTCCAAGAAGAAAGATAAACAGAAGGCTAAGATGAGAGGTGGGGCGGATATGGATATAGGGTCGATTGATGACCTAATGAGGTTTATTGTAAGTAAGCCAAGTTACTGCATGTGCATTTGTGTGTAATCCTTTTTTCATGTATGTGATTGCTTAATTCTGTTGTATGATTATATGTTACATTTTAATGTGTTTGATATGTGCATTTGCATAAACTTGAGAGCAATTTGATTTTTTTTTAATTGTTTGCATGCATAGTGTGTTGGAATGCATTAACAGTGAATGTGTTGTGTATCTATTGGTATGGTAGAGTATGGATGCCAAGAAGTACATTGGTGGTTTGTACCGGGGATGTCGAGTATGATATTTGGATCACGAGTGGAGAGGTGATCAAATGTTAGAATCCTTTATCTGGAAAAATCCTAATCAAATGAAGTGGGGAGAGAGATGCTTCTTTTACTTCTGTTAGGTGGAAACATATAATCCATTTAGGTTAAGAAGAGTGATGTGGTGATAAAGGATTATCCTGAGGACTTAGGATCTACTGTGATTTACCAGTTAGACATGAGTTAAGTGACTTATCTAGTGAGTATGGTGGGCGATGAAAGAAGATATGTGTCCTCGAAGTATAAGCAACATGGAATGAGATAGAATAAATGTGGTAAAAAATTTTCGTAGGGTCATTGATGCATTTGTTGCATATGTATTGGCCGTTATTGATTAACTTGGTGTTAATATGTTATTCTATATAAACATATTTTTGATAAAATCTGGGGGTTATCCTATGATATATTTTCATCGTATGATTATTTGTTCATTGTGATTATCTATTTCTGCTTGAATATTTTATTAGTGACCTTAGCTCTAATGAGTACATGGAGTAGGTATAATAGGTGCTTTGGATCCGAAACATGAGATACGGTTTGTGACTCCAATTTTATTGGTTATCTTAATTATGCAAGTACAAACTGTGTGTCATGATTGCTTGCAGGTTTATTGGACATCAAGATAAAGATTTGTCGAGTTTTGATACCCAATAAATCTTGGACGGTGATGTTAAACTGTTTGAATTAAGTTTCATAGGTCTTGGCCAATGAATGAAATTATTATCAACATATCAATCAATTGGCTCAACTCGAAAAATAACTCAGGAATCGTTGGAAACAACTTAATTAATTTAATGTTGCTTATGACCCATTTATTTCTTGGATTCTCTTTCATGTTTCCGCCCCTTTACCATTTGCTGGTCCATGAGCCCACTATTATTGCCCACTTAAATGATACCCTAAATCTATATATGGCCTCATTGTTGAAAGAAGCCATGTGTGTATGTGGGCAATAAGAAAAGAGGAAGTCACCCTTGTGTCATTTTCTCTCTCTTCGAGTTGGAAATTGAAACTTGTCTTCCTCTCTTCTTTATTACATATTGCAACCACCCTATTATGTTCTTTTTGGACACATTGAGTTGAGCAACTGAAGTAAAACATCGTTGTGGGTTGGATTCGATTGTTTGATTATGGTTGATGTTGGTAAGTTTGAACTGAGCCAGGAATCCATCAATTGAAAATCAATTCCTCTGCACTTGTAATAGAAATATCATAGTCAGAGAAAAACAACCATCAATGGATTTCTTTTATTTGCTAAGCCTGTATTTTAATATCTTCAAAATGGAGCAAAGGCTTTCCATTTCCCACTTAAAATATAAGCTCGATGGCGAAGTTAGAATTTTTAGGTGGTGGTTGTTGGTGGTTTTTTTTTTTTTTTTTTTTTTTTTTTTTTTTTTTTTTTTGGTGGAGGAAGGGGGGGGGGGTTGAAGACTGAACTAAACAACTAAATCAAGGGTTAAGGGCCTAAGGCTCTCAGATCTATCCTAGTTTCTACGAATTGGTCTAAGTTGCTTAATTACTTTCAATTTTTGAAAAGTTCATTATTATGCATCCTGTCTACTTCTCTGCTTCAGCCTTACATCTTTAGTGGTTCCAATGATTCAATTCAAACAAACTGGCCAAAAAGGCATGACTAGATATGTCAAAGTACCAAGAAAAAATTCTCCAAATAATTTTCCAGCATCACATTCAACAATTCTACATTCCATTTTCTATCTGAAATTTAATTTATAAGAAGTTGACTATGAACTACAAATGGTTGCATAAAGATTAGCTCTAACAATCAACTCCAAAACAAAGACGGCCACTAGGAAAAATGAAAAGAAAAATTATTTTGGAAAGATTGGATTCTTCCATTAATTTGACATAGACTGGAGGTAAACAAATGAAACTTAGACAGCATGCTATCTCAAAGGATCAAAGTTCAATCATGTTATTTTCTACTTTCCTCAGGCTGGATTCAACAAGGAGAAATACACTCCCATGTTGTTAGGCAAACAAATCTTCTTGCAAAAAGGAATAATTTAAATGTTAGTGTCATCGAGCCCACTCGTGTCCACACAAACTAATTTCAACATACTTGGACGGATTATTAGTCAATGACGTTTCAAATTTGAGCAGGGGAGAAACTTTGTAATGTGAGACAAAGACGTTCAAGCTCCAACAACATATATAAATAGGATTGTATGGTAATGAACAATCAAGAAAATAAACTCAAGGTTAAACATCTAGCTCAAGAAATAGAGAATAACAAAGCAAAGAGACGCAATAACTCTAGTCTTCAATGTATAACGTTGCATTACCCTTCAAATGATACAAGGAAAGGGTACTTATAGTGTCACATATGAAATGGTGTCCATTGGATGAGGAGGCACGCGATGCTTCATCTCCTTAATCGAAACATCATATTCTAGGTATCAATTTGACCTCACTAGCTAGTGGCATATTTAGCCCTTGTTTGGGCTCCATTTTTCCATCAAAATGTAGTCTTGAACAATGATTTGATCATATTTCAATCACACATTTTTCAATAAAATAATATTACATACAAACCCAAATTTTTTTTTTTTAACCACACATTTTCCATCATCACACTATTTAAAAAAAGGACCTCAAACAACCCCTTAATGCTCTTAGCGGAGACAACCACCCTGTAACCTATGTTGACAAGATTTTGACATATTACTCGTTACAAAAATCATATCAATCATTCTAATAGGACTCTATCAATAGGAAATCTTCAAAGGAAGTGGAAGACTATAGTATTGTGTCAATAACCTAACCATTGCAAGAAAACATTCGCCAAAACAAAGACACATCACACAAGAAACATGTCCACCCATAACATGAATAATCATAAATAGATTTGGGGGACTATTGTTAAGCCTCACCACTAAGACCCCCCGACGAGCCTATGTGGCATCCCATATGGAATGACATCTTACGAGAAGTTGGACGAGGCTCCTCTTCGATGTGGCAAAGCCCAAATATTGAAGCTCGCTCACAGAAACAGTTGTAGTTCGAAGGTTAGGTCCAACACTTGTTTGTGAGCCACTTTTTTAAACAACAACAACAACAACAACAACAATAATAATAATATAGTAATCATTTTTCCGTATTAATGATTTTATTTAAAACAATAATCTAATGATAACACTTCTTAAAGTTTTTGAAGTTTAGGATATTTTACAACTGCAAAATCAAATTGGCCTATTTTGAAAGTTTGGGTTCTTCCATTTGACATGGATTGGAGGTAACCAAACAAAACTTAATCAGCATGCCGATCCCAAAGAATCAATGTTCGATCACGTTATTTTCAACTTTCCTCATTCTGGAATCAACGGGTAGAAAGACATTAGGCAAATATATCTTCTTGCAAAAGGGATTAAAATGTTTGTTTAATACATTTGTTTGTTTCCATAGGTGGACCATTGAAACCAAACATACAATTTGCATTTTAAATTTTTACTCCAAAGTTAATTTTGAAGAAAGTGGTAACAATTAGTATATGCATTTTAGTGGGGAAGAGGGTTGAATTTTACTTCCAGGGATATCAAGCCATTGAGTACAAAATTATTTAACATTTTCTACAAATTAAAGGACAAAGTGTTTCCTCAAAGGAAGAACAGAGTGGACTTCATAAAATTTTGTATTACGTGAAAATATATGAATACTTGCAATCGAAAAGATATTTTCTGAATGTTTTGAAGCTACCCATTAAAAGAGATTTGGTTCGGTCTTGTACGGATTTAGCCACATTGTCAGAAGAAAGGTAACACATGCAGTGACATTCAAGCGGGTAGTTAATGATTTGATGAAAAAGCTAATTGTATTTAAAACAGTTCAATAATGAAATGCTACGTGACATTACGTTAAGAATTATGTATTATGACATTGTCGCAGGATTGGTCTTGTAAAATGTGTCAACTTTCAAGACATTAGAAGAAGACCACACCAAATTCAAACGTTGTCCCAGTGTTTAAAGTACACTCACAAAATATGGAAATAATATTTACATACCAATATCGATGGTTTTTTTTTTTTTTTTTTTTTCATCACCATAGCAAGTGACTAACTTAAAAGGCGAAGTGCACTTTAAAGACCAAACTTGTAGGTTTTGCTAGGGTAACAATTGAAATTATTGTCACCTCCAAATCCACACTTGGTGTTGTAACCTTCATAATCAGACAGATCGAATTCCACAGCCTCAATGAGCCTAAGCCTGTGGAAAGAAGCCATTGTTTCTAACATCCATTCTTTATGAAAACCATTGGTTTTGTGGGTAATGTGAATTTCACCATTTTCACCAATCATTTCTTTAGCATTCTGAAGAAACAAATTCACAAGTCTTCTGTGCTTTCTGTAGATAAACAGAATATATGTCTTAAATGAAAGCCATTAACCAAAAGAATTATAAAACAAACCGACCTTATTTGAGCCTCGCGAGGTAAGTCCTTGAAAAATCCAGCAAACGGAAAGTTGAAAATTATCCGATCAAATGTCATTCCTCCAAGCAAGCGATGACTTGCAACTTCTGTAGCATCAATCCCATGCATTACAATGCACTTCCTACTCCTAAGCTCATGAATGTTGGACATTGCACGCTTATAATTTTCCTCCAGAAAATCTGCAAATCCCACCAACATGTAACACAAATCATGATATATATATATATATATATATATATAAACATGAGGTTTGCACAAGATTTTCAACAACATATCAGTCAAATAATACATAAAAATTCATCTTTATTCAAATGGGACAATCAAAAATATGTTTAACTAATCTAGTATCCTAAATATTCAGAAGAACAAATTATCTTATACATGAATCCCACAAATAATAACTGGAGGCAGAGAATTTATAATAATTTCTTACCAACAGAATCAAGAGAAGTTGCAATCATGTTGGAGGCAGAACCAAAAGCCACAGCCAAACTAGCAGAGAAAGAGAAGTCTCCTTCACCCACAAGCAGTATCCCGTGGTAACTATTATAATGCTTTATCCATTTCCCTTTTGCCACCAAACACTTTATCACCCTCTCTTCCTCAACTTTCTCTCCGGATTCACTCGGGCCAAGCTGATTTTTCTCGTCTTCGATAAAAACAGCGGAATCCACCATGTCAAATACCTTTTTGTAGGAAAGAGAGCTATTAAAGGCATCAATGATCACATCCAGCTGTTGAATGTAGTTTGAGTCTTCATCTTCAAAGGACTCTGTCCAGATTGCAGAAGGAACTGGCGGATTTTGCGGCCATGCAGCATTAGCATAAACTTCATCTTCTGAGTTTGAGTAGTCCCTCTGCAACACTAAATCTGGAGGAGGGGATTCAATTTCTATGTCTGAGTAATTCGTCTGCCACCCCGAATCTGCAAGGCGGACATACATCTCGCCTCGGCTCCAGCCCGAAAATGAGTCTGAACTAGGAGAAGAAATATCCTGCCATCCATCATTAGCATACACTTCATTTTCTGAGTTTGTGCAGTCCCACTGCCCCACTAAATCTGGAGGAGGGGATTCAATTTCTCTGTCTGAGTAATTCCACTGCCACTCCAAATCTGAAGGGGGGACATACGTGGCGCCTGGGATCGAGTCCGAAGATGAATCTGAACTAGGAGAAGAAATCTCTTGGATTGCCAAAAACCTATGATTTCTGGTTGATACTACAGGATTTACAACAGGAAGTATAGGTTCTGGTTTTCTCGGCTTTGAAAATAAACGGATGTTACCTATCAAAAAAATAAATAAACGGATGTTGGAGATCCTTCCCAGTAGATTTTTGAATATAATACACAATGATGCACGAAAAGAACCTTCATTACTGGGCTTCCGGTAATGATCAAAGATAGGGCACAGTTCCCCTGAACTTTCTTCATCTTCTCTTCCACTACCCCAGGATCCGAAGATAATTTGTTTCTTGATCTTCAACTTTCCATCTGAACTGCGTTCCTAAATGTCGATCAAAAAACCGTGGTTTATAATGGAGTTTATGTCACCGTACTTAACTTTTAAAAATCAAATGACTGAATGAGTAATGCTTACCATCACTAGGACTAAGCACCCGTCTCGATGACAACCACGTGATATTAAACGATATATTTATTTGAAAGAAAGGCTATATAATTCATTTAGTTGAACCATTAAAGTGAAACCACCTAGATTGGTGCGCTCAAACACCACTTTTTACTCGATAACATTATTTTCAAGATATACTTTTTTAAATAAAAAAATTACTGACTTTGTGAATATGGTAAGAGCCCATTGACAAGATTTTTAAAAATCAAAAGCTGTTTTTAAAATTAAGAAACCTTTTTTGAACATGTTTTGATAATATTATAGAAGTGTTTTAGATGAAGCTTACCTAATATAGCCTTTTCAAGAAGATTTACAAAAATTAGAAGAAAAAATAAACAGATAAGTATAATCACTTGTAGGTAAATTCTTTAAATCTATTAGCCACAAGATGCAAATAGTAAAGTATCAAAATCTGGAGTCACAAAGATCAATCAAATAATCAGCATTTGTCCTTCTATTAGTCCTAAACTCGCACATAATTGATCAAAATGCATTTTTACATGAAATAATCAGTCATTAATTCACCTCAGTACTGTCCGAAAAAGCAATCTACATCAAAAGATCATATGAGGCAGGCTAGAACACAATTACCATATTAATTAGATCACAGCAAAATGATAGTCACCGTCTGATCATCGATCATCACTTGAAATCAGCCGCTGGATTTGCCGGCCGGAAGGTGAGTACAGTGCGAGAATGGGAGGACGACCAAGACTTAACGAGAAAGATAGATAGAAACTACTTTAGAAATTGGACCATCAATGCTTTCCTAGGCTGTAAAGAAAATCAAATCCCTGTTCCTACTTTTTTTGGTTGGCACAGAATAAGTATAAACATGGTCATTCCGTACAGTCTTGGGCGAATAAGTTGTACAGCCGTATATTTACAATCAAATACATAAAAAGAAGATGTAATGTAAATTCTTTTGTTTGAGAAAAGGTTTATGATGTGAGTAAAGGCATCCATTTCGAATATCATAAACAATACATATGATTTGTTTATAAGATCGTTGATTTTGATGCAGGTTGAATAAGTATGAAAATGTGATTCTTAATGGTCAAGTTTTGAACATTAGGTCAATAGCTAGTGAAAAAAATTTCTTGATAAAAAAAAATAAGAATGGCTCACCAAATAAATTCAATTAATATCTACTTAGCAGATAAATTATGCGGAATTATCTTTGCCAAAACAAATTGACTTTTTGAAAAATCGTACTTGAATTAGTCCTATATGATTTGACTAAGCATCAAATTTTTAGTAAATTTTGATTTAAGTTGATGAAGTGTGTAAATGAAAAGTTGATAAAGTTGTGGATTCCATAAAATATGCATATAATTGAACATGAGTTTGGAAAAAAAAAATGAATTTTAAAAAATTGATGTCAAGCATGGATTAAATTTTGGTAAATGTTTCTTTTCTTTTTTTCTTTATTATTATTATTATTATTATTATTATTATTATTATTATTATTATTATTCATTTCTAGATTTACAGGAAACTATGAGCATTCACCATCAACTTATCTCGCTTTTCCCTCTATGTTCATGTTAAATTGTATTCTCCCTTACATTCTATAAGTCTTTAGTCAAGAGTTAATTTGCCCAACTGATTGGCAATATGATACAACTCACCTATTTTTAGTCTATTATATCCACGAGAAAAATATGTTAAGAGAATTAAAAAGCGGAAATTTGCAAGACATGAAACCAAAGAAAAACTATTAATTCATCCAGGCATCCCGTCAAATTAAGCAACTGAATCTTACCAAAAAATAGTTTTTATTTAACCAAATGAAATCGTTAAAAAAAAAAATTGTGTGTTAAAAAAATCTGTTTTGAAGAGGAAAATGAAAAAATAGGATGGAAGTAGATTTTTTGCACCTGTAAGGATGGTTGCGTGCGAAAGCAAAAATGATAATAATAATAATAATAATAATAATAATAATAATAATAATAATAATAATTTTTTTTTTGTTGCTCCGTGCAGTACGAAGCTAAATAACTCCATGCATGCACGGAGCTATTAATTTTAATACCTCCATGCACTGCACGGAGCTTTAGCTCCAGTTATCATTTTTTTTTTGTTGTCTAAAAAAATATTATTATTTTTTGCTTTTTGTTAAAAAAAAATATTTTTATTCTCTGCTTTCATTTTTTTTTCGACCGTCTTGAAAAACGAAATATACAAAAAAAAATATTTTCAACCATCCTAAAACACAAATGAAAAATGAAATAAAGGGAGCTTTAGCTCCAAATTTATTATTATTTTTAAATGTTTGTATTATTATTATTTTTTTACGTCTTCTAAATTCTAAATTCATTGCACATAAACAACATTATAAATTCTTTTTATTTCTTAAGACTATTCATCTAATCTAATAACTTACAACAATGCACAAAATTTCACTTTCGTAAAACACAAATAAAAAATGAAATATATACAAAAAGAAAAAAAAAAGAGATTTTAAAATTTAAAATGAAAGGGGAGGAGCAAAAACTTGGTATCGAACTAATTACTTTGAATATCCTCCGTCATCCTCAAACGAATCTCCTCTATCCAAAACCAGCAGAAACTCCAACGTCTATCCCTGTCTCCCGTCTGATAATCAATATTCCCAAGTTTTGCTCATTATATAGTCTTACAAAAATTAATTTCGATAAATAGTTTTACAGAATTATCTCAAAAGCTAATTCACCTATCTTCTAACAAAATTAATACGATGCAACGTAATCAAATGAAACTTACAAGAATTGATGATTAACTAAAAAGAACAAAAAAATCAAAACATATTTACATACAAATTAGAGAATTCTTCTGTCCATCAAATCCCAAACACTGCAGAGAAGACCTTTCACTTTCTAAAGCATCAACTACGAAAACACAATTTCAATCAATTCCAAGAATCCAAAATCACAAATCAAATAAAACTATTTGAAAATCTTGAATTATTAACAATACCAAACATTTGCAGCTAGAAATCTTCAATAATCACTCAATGATCTTTTGATGGACAAGGCTATTCGAACTAAAAAAGAAAAAAGATGAAAAATCAAACAAAAGGAATGGTATCACCAAAATAAAATAAACCTTAATCAATGGAGATCTTGTTGCCACTGTATAATTTCTAAGTAGATTTTCAATTTTTTATAATGTTTACATACTTAAATAAAAAAAAAAAAAAGATCTAACAGATAAGCAATAAGGTCAAAGAAAGTTGAAGAAAGATACACAAGAACGAAGCTTTGAGGATTCCTCTATCCACAGAAGAGAAATGATACTCGCTCAATATGATGAATTTGCTTTCTTCACATTTTCTTCGTATCTTCATAGCAATAGGAGAGAAAGCAAGAAATCAGGTTACAGAGATCAATCAAACGAACAGAGGAATGGTTAATGGAGTGTAAGAAATGAGTTAATGGGTTGATCAAATTCACCAGGATTCTGTGAGAATCAAGTTCTTAGGTCAAGGCTCAATTTGAATCACCCAAACTTAAACGATCACAGACAGAGATCACAGACAAATATAACAAGATATCACTAATTAATGTAACAAGTTACAGTATACAACAATTAACCATATCAAAATAGAGATATAATGAACTATACACAGTGTTACGTGTGTGTGTGATCATGTAGGGATCAAGAAGTGCAAACCTAAGGGTGATTAAACGATTAACCACCAGCACTGATCACGAATTAGTTATCGCAGCAAGGGGTGAGTGTTCTCCAGATCACCAAATCACGAACCGAGCCCTTACAGCTTCTAAGTTAGTGTTCCAGTTCAAGATCGAACCCACAGGACCTCTTATTTTAGGGTCCTTTTACAGATCGAGGCAAGAAGTCACAAAACTTTCTCGTTTTCCACAGTCTAGTTTCGAATCAGCTCAACAAACTACCAGATCGACACAAATCTAGACCTACGGTTTCGTGATCTACAGTCAGACGCCTGAAAATTAATTTTCCAGTGTTCGAACCTTCGATCGAAGACTCAAGAACAAACAAGAATAGACTCTGATACCACTATTAATCCAAGATCTGAAATCATACAACCAAAAATATACAATAGCTTTACCAGAAAAACCTAAACCACAACATCAAGATTTAGATCTTTCATAGGCTCAGACCATACGCCCCATAAACTTCATAGAGGCACCGAACTCAACCCCAAGCCCTCACAATCCCAAAGTACAAAGTCGCTTCAATGGAACCCGAAATGGACAAACCACTTCTCACAACAGTTTACTCACACAAAGGAGACTCACACAAGGACACGATTATCACCAAGATAATCACCAGAAAATCTCACACAGAGAAGATGAAAGAGTCACATAAACGAAAACCCTTGAAGGTTCTAGAAGACACGAAGAAATCAGAGAACAGAAAATGACGATTCAATCCGCCAAGAAAGAGAGAAAGATATTATTTATACGAAATTCCAACAACCATTGATCAGTGGGTCGATCCAATGGTCCCAGAGCAACTAAGTATGGATTGAACTATTGAGCTCCGTTAAGTGGGCCATCTCATTCCATTTTGGGCCTTTTTCATCATCACAGCCTATGTTGGACTGGACCTTGGCATCACAGCCCAACAGATCTCCACCTTAATGCCAATGGTCATACAAGAAGCCTAATAAATGTAAAACACAGTTTATATCTCTTCAAAGAATGCAGCTTCCCAGCACTTCCAATAAGCATCAGATTCAGCACCTATACAGAACCAAAAAATTTAACCAGCATCAATGTTCAAAATTTGTAAACAAGACTTAAACTTGTTTAATGGTATTACCTTAGTCCCTACATCAGCTGGATTAAACTGAGTTACAATTTTCTCAAGTAAAATAAGTTCTTTAGAAACAACATCTCTAATAAAATGCAACTTAACATCAATATGTTTGGTTCTTTCATGAAAAACGGGGTTTTTACATAGGTGAATTGCACTTTGACTATCTGAATATAAGACAACAGGGTTACTTAATTCATTTATTTCAGATAACAAGCCCTTAAGCCATAAGGCTTCTTTTATTGCTTCAGTTGCAGCAACATACTCAGTTTCAGTAGTAGATAAAGCAACAATAGATTGAAGTTGTGATTTCCAACTAATACATGTATTACACAAAGTAAACATATAAGCAGTGGTAGATTTCCTATTGTCTCTATCTCCTGCAAAATCTGAATCTACAAAACCCTTAAGTACAACACCTTCATTACAGGCACTAAAAATCAAACCAAGATGTGAAAATCCCTTCAAATATCTCAACAGCCATTTTAGAGCAACCCAATGGTCAGGTCCTGGATTGGCCATAAATCTACTTAATGTGCTAATGAAATGAGCTACATCAGGCCTAGTACATACCATGGTGTACATGACAGATCCTACAGCATTAGCATAGGGTACATTTTCCATCTGTCTAATGTCAGATTCTTCTATAGGACATTGCTCTTTACTAAGTTTAAAATGGCTGGTCAATGGTAATGAAACAGATTTAGAGTTATGCATGGCAAACTTAGTCAACATTTTTTCTATATATGTAGTTTGCTTCAAGTACAGTAACCTATGGTGCCTTTTCCTAGTGATTTCCATCCCTAAAATTCTCTTTGCATGTCCTAGGTCTTTCATTTCAAATTCAGCACTTAAAGACTATTTTATCTGATTAATAACATGCATATTCTGACCAATTAGCAACATATCATCCACATAAAGAAGTATAAAAACAACAATAGCATTTTCGTCATTTCTTTTAAAATAAAGACAATGATCAAATTCACTTCTTATGAAACCAATAGTAGATACAAAAT